AAATTATATAAATCGGGTTAACTGAAAAAAAAAAAAAAAAAAAAAATATATATATATATATATATATATATATATATATATATATATATATATATATATATATATATATATATATATATATAGTATAAATCCACACACGTATTGTTATAATAAAAAAAATAAAAAAAAAAATAAAAAAATAAAAAAAAAAATTTTTAAAAAAAGAGTTTATTTCAGTGTTGTGATTTTTTTAATTATATATACAGCCTACTCCGGATATATTGAAATTCAGGGGACCATGAAAATTATTTCAATATTACCATAATTCAATATAAGCGAAATCGCGAAGCCGCCATTTTTTTTATTACAAGTTCAATCCCGATTTTAATTAAAGAACAAATCCGAACAAATTAATTTTGTCATCGTTTACCTATAACAGTGTACAGATTACATGAAATGTTAGTATTTGAACGTATAAATAATTTTTTCTTTCTTTTTTATCAATCTTCAACTTCATTATTCATGTTATTATTCCCCGATCGCATTTATTTACATTTTGGAGAAAAATCACCGATGTCAAACTGTTGAGTACTGCATGTATTTTATCTTAAGTGTACTCCCGACAGGTTGATCTCTTAGCTTTTAATTTAGGTTTATCATTAGCCATTAATAGTACGTATTCAATTTGAAAGTTAAGTTTTTTCTAGATCTGCGGGGGTTACTACAGTATGTTGCCTTTAGCCTAAATACTTCCATATTATATGAATGAAAACAAAGAATTTAGCAGTGAATAATTTTATTTCATAAGAGCATGAAGTATAAAAACACATAAGGTGAAAACTTAATTATTCACATCTTTTTATATCTCAACTGGTCTTTCAGGCATAATTTCTGTCACCAACCGTAACGACAGCCGCCAGGGAGTACTTCAATATAACCGTTATTAAAACAACTCATTATCACCAGCGGGGACCGATTAGTGGCTTCAATATAAACGATTTTTCAATATAGCCAATTTCAATATAACCGTTAGTTTAATGCAAAGGATATGAGAGTCAAAAACTGGGGATTTATTTTTATTTCAAAATAAGCGAGTTCAATATAAGTGGAGTAAGCTCTGTATATATATATATATATATATATATATATATATATATATATATATATATATATATATATATATATATATATATATATATATATATATATATATATATATATATATATATATATATATCACTCAGAGAGCAAAATGAATTGTTTAGGGTACATGTGCATACTTTTTCCCAGATTTTCTTATGATTCTGAACAGTCATGCAAATTTCAGCAAATAAAACTAATCAGGTATTTATGTATCTCATAAATAAATTGCTTCTCTCTCATTAATTATTGTAAGACAGTACAAAAACACACTAATAAGACATTACTATTTAAAAGTTTCATCTTCTGTATTGATAGTTAAAATATGTCCTTTAGAACTATGAGATTCATAATCATATATGAATAACAATAGAAAACTATGCAGGAAAAAATGCAACATCATGCTCTTTTAAAGGGAATCTCTACCTTCCCCTAACATCAGGATATAAAAAAGAAGTTCTTTTTTTCTTCTGAAATAAAGTTTAATAAATATTCATACATGTATATTCTAACGACATATTTTCTTCTTGAATATTAGCATAAAAAGAAAGCATAAGGTCACTTTCTTCTGTAAAACAAGTTACCTATTAATTAAGTAGTTGATATAAAATGGGTTTCACAGTTAATTACTTACATGTTAAACTTCCAACATATCAGTACATATGCTGTGCATCTGATTATAACATAATTGTTTGTATGTGCATATGATTTTACTTTAACAAAAATTCACAATTTATAAAAACTGAAACTTTAAAAATACCTTTTTTTGGATGTTTTCTTAGATCATATGAGAGGGTAGGGCAATCCTTGAAAAGCAAGAATATTTAAATATTAAATATGCATTATTTAGTGTAATAATAAAATTAATTTTGTAGTGTTGCGCAAGCATGCATAATTATGAAACAGGTGAACTAGAAATCTGTGAGCCTATGCTCACTAGTAATACCCCTGCTCTGATGTGAATATACAAGAACATATTAATAAACATTACATGTACATGTATATGCATGGAAAAATAAGAATTTGACATCAGATTCAAATAAAAATAAATCCGACCATACTGCATGCCTCAACAAAGTATATAGACAGACATACAAGGGTAAAACGGTATACCCCCCCCTTCCTTGATAGAAGGGGTATAAAAATAAAAGCAATTCTTTGAATAAATTCAAATACCCTATCATTCTATTTGTTGAATTGAATTGAACATATTTTATTGACAAAGTCAAAAGGATCAGACACAAGTTCAGAAACTTAGATAGTCCTCTCCTGATATAACATTTTGTGAAATTGCCAAAGTAAAACAAACATACATACATATGGTCTACTATATACATTGTATACATTGTAGCAATAGAAAGGAATAAATTCTTTAAATATACAAATATAATTTGAGATGGTGAGGAAAAAAAAATAAAAAAGTAAACTTATTTTGAAAAACGACCACATTCATTTAAGAAAGTTTGAATAGTCTTGAAAAGTTCAGCATTTTGTTCAAAAGTTAGAGAATCATCGCCCCATAGCATCAAATGTACATCTATAATATGTAAATAATTTAATGACAATAGCTTATTCATTAAGGAATTTCTTGCTTTTACATAATATTTACAAACAAAAAACAGATGATATGTATCTTCTAGTAGTCCACAAGAACAATTAGGACTGGTTATTAGGTTACAGCGATATAAATCAGACTTTAAAATACAATTGTGTCTTAATCTTGTATGAATTATGTTCAAAAACCTTTTTCCATATGAAAAATATTTCTGAGGTTTTGCATTACTGTTTTGCAGATAGTTTTTGAAAGTTTTAATAGAAGTTGCCTCCCTTGTTTTTAGACTAAGGGAATTCCACTTTCTAACAGTATCGGGAATAAATGATTTATTGGAGAGTTCTAATCTGTATTTTGGCAAAGAATAATTTAAAGAATTACGGGTAGTGTATCCTGAAATATTGCCTCTTGTATCAGGTACTAAGTTTTGCAAGTAAATAGGGACTAAATTATTGTGCATTTTATACATTGTTATTAGTTTTGCCCTATTTCTTCTATATTCCAGTGGTTCCCAGCCTGTTTCCAAATATAAAGAATTTCTTGAAGCAATAATTGTAAGCCCAGTAACTATTCTTGCAGCATATAACTGTACTTTTTCAAGATTCTCAATGTCTGTTTTTGTGCATCCAGACCAAACTTCAACAGCATATTCAAGTTGTGGTCTAATAAAAGATATATACATCTGGGATAGAATATCTCTTGACACAGTAAATTTTAATTTTTTAAGAAGCCCCAGTTTTTTGTATGCTTTCTTTATAATGGTATCAATATGATCAGACCATCCTAAGTTAGACGACAGAAGTATCCCAAGATGTTTGTGTTCTGTAACATATTCCAATTGGCAATTGTCAAAAAATAATTTAGGAAAATGATGTACATTTTTTAAATTAAAAAACACTGCTTTGGTTTTCTGTGGGTTGAATTTCAATAACCATTTCTTCGACCATTCATCTAGTATTCTAAGATCATGGTTAAGATTTTGTTCAATATGATTAACATTATTTGAACATTGTTGTAAAGAATTATCATCAGCAAATAGTCTACAAACAGATATCATATTTTCAGCCACGTCATTTACATATAATAAAAATAATAGGGGACCAAGTACTGAGCCCTGGGGAACTCCAGCTTTTACTTGTCCTACAGAGGAAAAATGATTTCTATACATGACTTGTTGGGTTCTTTTGCTTAAATAACTATCAAACCAATCTAGCATATCCCCATTAATTCCATACATTTTTAATTTGTAAATTAGGCCTTTATGCCAGACCCTATCAAATGCCTTTGATAAGTCACAAAACACCATACAACAGAATTTACCTTCATCAACACTTTTTACAATAGAATGGTATGTTTCTAAGAGTTGATATACTGTGGAATGACCTGGTAAAAAACCTGCCTGGTATTTATAAAATATATTATGTGAATACAAGAAATTGTAAACATGCTTAAAAATTATTCTTTCAAAAATTTTGCTTATACAACTTAGCAAAGAAACTGGTCTATAGTTTGAAGTGATGGAAGGGTCATCTTTCTTAAAAAGTGGAAGAACATGTGCTAGTTTCCAGCAGTCTGGAAATGTTTTTAGTGATAGGGATTTGTTGAATAGTATACACAAAGGTTTTGAGATAGTTTCTTTGCAAGATTTTAACATTTTATGGCTGATGCAATCAGGACCAACGGCTTTATTGACAGGAATAATAGAAATTATATCAATGATTTCTTGCTCTTGTATTTCAATGTGTGGAAAATTATCCGTACATCTTGACACTATATTTGGGAGCTCTTGATTACTGTCATCTAACTCTGTAATTGATGTGAAATATTTGTTTAATAGTTCTATTTTATCTATGTCTGAAAATGCAAAACTTTCATTGCCATTGTCGTCTGTAAACTGAATAGGTGGAATTTCATTTGTCGGTTTAATGTGAGAAGTATCTTTCAGTAACTTCCAGTATAGTTTTTGATTGTTCAGACTAGCATCCTTAAGATGAGAATCTATATTGTCATAATAGTTTTTAATAGCATATTTTTTCATATTATTAAACTTATTCCTTACTTTGCGAAAGTTTTCCTTATCAGATTCTCTTTTTGTTTTTTGTGCTATTTTTCTTAGTCTATTGCGAATACGCAAAGTTTTCTTTAGAAGAGAGTCCATCCATGGTTTATCATTTGGCCTTATAGTTACAGTGTTTTCAGGTATGCATTGATGAATAATAGAGTTAAATTTTTCTGTGAAGTTTGTTGTTGCAGTATTAATGTTTTCTGTATCATCAATAAGACGATTATTTGTTACTTTGTAAATTAAAAAAAAACTTAGTTGTTTTACCTTGGCAGCTTCTTTGTTAACAGATTCCAAGTCAGCTTCATCCTTTCCCTTCAACACAGATAATGATACAGAATTAAAGACCGAATGAGAGACAGACAGATAGACACACACCCTTACAGAGAGAGAGAGAGAGAAGAGAGAGAGAGAGAAGAGAGAGAGAGAGGAGAGCATTTAATGCTGGAGTCCAAAGTGAAAGTATGTCTTTTGAATTGATTTTATTTACCCAGAAATTTATTCTGCACATTCTGCATTTAAATTCTGTGAATTCTTCAACATCCATGTCCTCTTCAATGCAGAAAGGCTTAAAGTGGTAGGCTCTTTGGCACATGCTGCATTCAATCTTTGATAGATAAAAAAAAAAGAGATGTATAATAAAGTTGACAAACAAGATTGAAAATGAATTACATGATTAAAAAAAATCTGAAATATGTTGCTGTCAGATCATCTAGTATGGTTGAAGTATTTACTCTGATATCTGTAGAATAAAGCAATACGAATCTGAGTCATATGTATTAATTTCAAGGTAAACCATAGTTTGAGTGAAGTTGTTGGTAAACATTTTCTTTCTCATTTTATAGGAAGACTTTGATATGCATGGTGTGTTATCATTGTAAGATCTACCTTTTCTTCATTTTCAATTTTTTTAGCACATTTTGGGCAACATCCTGTCAAGTTAACTGTAATGAAAAAAGAAGTTTAAAGTTCTGTACTATTCAAATCTCTTATTTTAACTAGACATGTCCTGATTTCTTTTCCATTATTATAACTGGAAGTCTAACAAGATGTGTTTGTGAAACACTGATGCCCCTGTATTGCAGCTTGAGGCATGGGTTGAATTAATTCCCTCAAACTTCAAAGGTAAAAAGTAGGGATGGCAATTCGTAACCGGTTAATCGATTAATCAGTCGGAACGATGCTATTCGGTTAGAAAATCCGTAATCGGTTAGTCGGAAAAAATGAAATATATGTAAATTTGAACGCAGTTTTTATCAAATTCATTTTGTTGAAAAGAAACCACTGCATAAAATTTCATTCAATGTTACACACATATTATAATAAAGATGATTTGGAGGTAATTACGTAATTATGGCTCTCAAGAAGGAAATCGCGGGGCAATTTGTCAGTTTGTAAAGTGTTAATTACTGTTTTTAAAATCATACCTGTTACCCCGATTGTCCTGTGATGTTTAATGATTTTAAAAACATCACTGTTAACCCTTTTTAAGCTGTTAGCTAGCTAACCGCTTTATGGCATGGGCTCCAAAAAAGCGGAAACTTCCATAAGGCGCTACCTATCGACATCGCTTTATCGCACGTAACCTTATCCTTCTGCAACCAAAACCGGAAACTTCCACAAGGCGCTACCTATCGACAACGGTAACTTCAGCAAAGCGCTTTCTATGATTTGTATACTGTTGGCGTAATACGCCCCCTGGTGAGAGATTGACAATACTCTGTGTATGAAGAGTGGCTATTACAACGATTATATCAAATTCTTATTAGTATTTACCAAAGCATTGACAATACTTAGAACACTAACTTCAAAGAACTGAGAATTTCGTCCTTATTACATGTACATCGTGCGATCGCGATTTATAGCAACTGTTAGTTTATCTTTGAAAGTTGAACGATGCGGTTAATTATACAGCAGGTTGAAGGTTATAACAGACTGCAAAAACATCAGCAAATCTCTCGATCGAGTTTGATTTTCCTTGTCAAAGTATTAAGAAACACCATTTATTAAGTCAAGTCATACCTGAAAAACGTTTATATAAAAACACCGAATACATCTGCAAGTTTAACAATTTTTGTAACGTTTTTATGGAAACAATAGGATTGCCTCCACAATGAAACGTTTGTTTTCTTCTCTTTTCTTCTCTGTCTAATAAACAGTTATAAAAGCTCAGCTCCCAGAGGTAAATTCTCTGCTCCGTCTTTGATAATTTATTACATGTACAAACGATCATAAGGGATCACTTACTTTTAGTTTTGAAAAAAATAATGGGGCACTTAAAGTAGAAAAATTAATTTTGAAAAAAAAGGATAAATATATATTAATTTTAATCGGCATTGTGACCCTCTTCTAAAAATCAACCACAGAAGAATGAGGTATGAAAAATCTTGGCAATTAGCAAAAATTTAAAATTTATACTTAATGTTTATTTATAAGTTTTGAAAAGTTGACCAATTCCTAGGGAACGTATTATTAGCTGTGAAAATACTTTTTAAATTTGAATTGTCCAATTTGTCGATCATTATTTCGAGCGTTTGAGAAGAATTAAATTAAGATACAGGGTGTTTAAAGGCACATTGATAGAAAAGAAATCGGTGTATAAAATTGTTTAACCGACATATTGAAGAAAGTGACACTGATAACTTCTTAAGTTACACTGACTTTAAGTGTACATTTGAATTTTTAAATACTAGTATTTTTTTGATTACACAAATTTCCTTTTCACATGTTTTTTTGAGAACAATATTGCATGAAGAGTATATGGCAAATACACATTATATGTCCTTATCTAGACATAAGTGCAAGACTTCTTTTAAATGATTCTCATATACCATTTACTTTATTCGAACATTTACTTGTTTGAAAAGTCAATAAAGTACATTTCATAAAGCTTGATAATCTTGTTTACTCGCCAGTCTTCCCGTAGAAGTAGTAGTTCATAATATTACTAAACGGAAGTATTCAGTATCTGTATAAAAATACAAAATGATCAATGATCGAGTTAAGAAGAAAAGCTGACTCCTGAAAGTTCAAGAGGTGGGATCCGTTGCCTAGAAGAAGTAAGCATCCCTCGTTGACAGGTTATACCTGCGATGAGCCTATACAACTTGAGTTCTTTGATATCAATTCATTTACAAAGTCTCTGCTCAGTCATCCGTTTTTCTCTGACTAGCCAGCTGTAGATCTACACTACTCCAAATCCATTATTCTAAAGAATTTAATCTGTCATTTTTTTAGTTGTTTGCTATATTAGGCTTTACAATTACCTAACTTCAGATTCAATAGAGCATGAAAGACAATTAAATTTTCAACATCAACATAATTGTTTTCATCCAGAGAACGATAGGATGCCACCAAGAGAGAACTTTTAAAAATGAACTTCCTGTCTTTCAAACTGAAGAAATCTCATGTTTAAATTTTGAAACATGCATTTCAATCTAATCAAAATTTATTTAAATGTTCCAAATCCGCTACTGCTTCTCAAACATCTAACATCCCATCCGGGATCACATCAGAGCGACCTTTCAATTATGAATACATGTACTAGTAAACACGAAAACATTGGCCATGTAGATTCAAGCCTCAGTAAACAATTCTCAAATTAATTCCACGGCTACATATCATCATTATTGATACTGTCTTACGTTGAATTAAAGTAATTTTGGAATCAATTTCATGTATAGTCTGCAGTCTGGCATCTGCACGTGAATAATGCAAACGAAAGAGCACAAACTATACAAGATACCCACACGTCATACATAACACAGCTTATGCAATGCATATTTTGTTTACTACAAAACTCCTCGGGTGTTTTGGTACGGTGGTGAAAACAAGAAACCCATCTGAACTATGAGCCAAGATTTCGGAGGAACCGTTTTCTTTGGCTAATCGAAGATTCACTCTTACATGACCCCAAATATGATGTTGTTAGATGTTTGAGAAGCAGTAGCGGATTCGGAACATCTAATTTTAATTAGATTGCATCCATCTGTGACATCAGTTTGGAATGTTATTGGTTTTACTAAACCAATAACATAGTAAAGTATTACAAAAACAGTAAAGTAAAGTATTACAAAAACAGAATGCCTGTTATTTTTTATCTGATGACATTGGACAAAGATATGCATACTTAATTATCATCATTTCATGCACTTTTTCCGGTACATATTAGATGAAAGCATGCTAACCGCTTTTCAGTACTTTCAGTACTTTGATAATTAGTATGTCTTTATTTTGCCGTTATCTTTTAAATCAAACAATTAAAAAGAACAAAGTTACAGTTCAGACAAAGTTTTGATTATGATGACAATGCAGAATGAACTTCTTTAACTTCTTTGAAAATTATCCATGTTTGATTTCTCAGGCACAATTCTTAGTTTTCGTAATTTTTTTTTCTATTGAAATTAAAATAAAATTTAATTTTATGAATCAAATTCCTGATCAAGATTGATAAACAGAATATAACTTCTAACGCATTTTATAGCCTTCTTGTGTATTTGAAAAAAATTATTAAAGTGTATATATCTTGATACGAATAACCGGTTAATCGGTCAGAACGTCTTGCAGTTAACCGATTAGCAATTCTGCAATCGATTGCCATCCCTAGTAAAAAGTATTGGTACCCAAAGGAGGCTGGGTCTAATGTGACAAGTGAAAAATGAAAGTCTAGTTCTAACTGTTCAAAAGTTATAAACAAGGTCAAATATTTTTAAATGTGGGTCAAACTCTTAGGTAAAGGTCAAACTAGAAATATGTCCATAGGACATGAATGCCACACCAAGGATATATTAGTAAAGCAACATGAAAATTTGTATGTGTATAAAATTTGATCACTTCGGTTTAAGTGGGGCTTATAGTTACTAGGGAATAAAAATGTAGGTCAGATCCAGCATCCGAAGCAAGTCTGGTAGTGTCCATCCATAGATGCATCATCCATGCAAATTTGGTTCAGATAGGGCTTATAGTTACCTACTTGGGAATGAAAATATAGGTCAGATCCAGCATCCAAAGCAAGTCTGGTAGTGTTCATCCCTAGATGCATCATCCATGCAAGTTTGCATCCATATGTGAAGTTTGATAACACCATCTTAAATGGTATGTTTAAAACTGAGCTAAACACTAATTTAAGAAAAGTGAGGTCAAGGTCATAGGAAAGGTCAAGGTAAAAAAATATTGATACAGTTGCATAGCTCTCATCAATATCTATCAGCTAGCATATGAAGTTTGATGAAAATATCTTGGATAGTTTCTTTGAAACTTAGCATTGAACAAAGCTTAACGCAAAGTGTGACAGAAGGATGGAAGGACAGAAGGACGGAAGACAGACATTAAAAACACTATATGTTTTGTCACAATAAATACACATGTGAAGTATGAAAGCCCCAGCTTTAATTGTTCACAATTTATGGCCAAGGTTAATGTATGGTTTTTTTGTTTTTTTTTTGTGAAAGCAGGTCAAATTTCAAGGTCAAGATGTCAATTTCGAGGTACACAAAAAAGGTATTTTCACAAGGAATGCACCTGAAAAAAATGAAAACCATAACCCCACTCACTCAATAGTTATGGGCTAATTAAGTTAAAGTTGACAACAGACAGACAGGATGGGACAAAAACACTATACCCCTGGGATATTTCGATCTGGGGGCAACAAAATGAATACAAAATAAATACCTTTGTAAAGCATCAACTCTAAAGCTACTTTTCTCCTCATGTTTTGTAGATCTTTTTTAGTTATACTTTGTAGATCATGCAAGTGTCCATTTAAATGCTTCTCTGCAAACTAAAATAGAATTTCAAAAAAGTAACATAATCTTCTGTCATAGAAATAAAATGAACGACAGAACAGATAATATCAACCATAATGGAAAGGTATTAATTTGAATCGTGATGAATTTTTTGTGGAAAACCATGTGCTGTCCTATTTTATGGACAAATATATAAGCTAGTCCAAATATTCAGATGGTATATATACATGTATTGATGTGGCATATATAGAAAAACAAAGACAATACCACAAGGCAATATATTCCACAGTTGAATGAATCTCTCTGGAGAGCATGTGGACTTGTACATATCTTCCAATCTGGTGACTTGTTGCTTATTTGGTACTTGTTCCGATATTCACTGTCATATTTCCTTTAACAATAAAAAAAGTATGACTTGTGAGAAAATTCAAAAGCACAAACCAGATATATCATGGGACAAGTCAAGGTCAACATAAAGGTTTTTTTTAGTGGATACCTCCAACTCCTCTCAATTTTTTTCATCTCATGGCTCCTCTCTCCACATGGGTTTAGAAAAAAATCTTGCCTTCTCTTACTTCAACAATCTAAAGTAAAGAAAAGTGGTAATACTGCTATGGTTTACAAACTCATATTAACAAAACATAGTACTGTGAACAAAAAATCTCACCACTAAAGTCCAATGATATGACCTGTGATACACTCCCACAATAACATCTGCCTCTACATCTATGCCCTGTAAATGTGAATACATTTTAATGCAGATTGGTATCAAAATAGTGACCTAGCTCTGTCTTCTTTTGTTAAGACACAAAATAACGATAGTTAATTAACTGTATTTGATACAATTTATATAATTAGTACGTCTTTTCACTTACAGAGTTTTGGGATACATCTGGTAATCGGAAGTCTGAATTTATGATCCCTGTCATTTTGGTTTGGTCAGTGTACAACATTTCTTCCTAATTCATTTTGTTGAGTGGCCAGCAACAACAAATAACAGCCAATGACCTAGTATAAAATATATGTAGGCATTATTTCTGAAATAAAAATCTTGGAAAAACAAATGATCGAATTAAAGAATAGTGGTCCATGAGCTTAATTACTGGAAATGTTACCCTTTCCCTTATTTTCTTTGCAAAGACTTGTTAAAATGCAAAGAGGTCAAGACATAACTGACATTTGCATCAGAAGCAAATTAAAGGGGGGGGGGGGGGGGGGCTATAAGACCCCGGTTTCGTTGCCTATGATTGAACTTGAATTTACTCATTGTTTAGATGATTCTTTATGAATATGGCTAAACAATTTATCTGAGCTGGCATGCAATTGAGTTCTTGTTTTCATTAAATATTTTTATACATACCCTGTCAGTGAGACATTAATTACTTTTTAATGAACGAATGTCTGTGTCCATGATTACTTTACCAAATACATTAGCCACTGGAAAATTGAAATCCTTTTCTAATGACCATAAATTCTCTACCAAATCATAGCCTGGTGAATACATGTACAATTGGACAGTATAAATATATAAAATAACAATGACAGATACACTTCATTTGTAAAAATTTGAAAAAAATACCCACCATTACTATTCACATGAAATTTTGCATTTTTTCCTGATGCTTCCAAGTTTTGATCTGATCCATTTCTTGTGAACAGTACATCAGACTTGGCTGAAATTGAATAAAATATTTAAAGTACCAGTACAATAAACTAATAGTAATACATGATTTGGAAGTGAAAACTCAGTTTTAATATGAAATGATATACATGTACAGAATTATTCTAAAATTTTCAAACCATTTTCCATTGCTTTCCATTTCTTAAGATTTTTTTCATTTCCAATTTCTCCATTGTCTGATTTCCTCTTGGATGGTTTCTCCTAATATTTATGAAAGATTAAATATGATTATATGAGGATTTCTTTATTTAAAAAACAACAAGCCATTAATATTTATTTAATTAAGGAATGAAGCTTATTTCAACTTATGTTATTCGATATAACATAACTTGGGGCAGTTTATGCTTTATAAAATTTAATTTCAATGTAGACACTGCGACAATATTTCCTCCGGAAAAGGCTTTGAATTGAGCATTATTTTAAAAATAACGTCAAGCGCAGTAATACGTTTTTGACGTAATTCATTGTGATGTAGGCAAGTTATGTTATCCAAAATATTATATGTTCCTCGGAATGATTCAGCCAATGAAATTGCTTGATACAAGAGAAATTAAATTATTATTGAAATAGTACATGTTACATCCATGCACTATGTAAAATGAATGCTTAGACAATTACCTGGAATTTCATGGAACACATCCTGCAAGTGATTGTTTCCAATGACATGCATCCAGATTCTAAACAGGCTTCGGTCCTGTGAAATTTTCTTGAGCACAATTCACATGTGATCTGCAATTTAAATTTTTTTTTTTTAATTTATTTGTTTTTAAGATCAATTTATAATGAATCTAACTCTTTTCTTTCCATTTTCTTCTTTCTTTGTAATGAATGATTAAATGAATAATATCTTTTCCTTTGAAATTGTTTAAAAATGTTTAGACTTAACTTACTGTTTCTTCTGCATATGCCAACAAGAGGCCCAGGGGCCACAGCGCTCACCTGAGCACATTGGCTTGGAAAAAGCACATATCAGATCAGAAATGAAAGTTTACAGGGGGGCTTGAATTTTAACCCCCCAGGGGTTCATGATTTGAACAAACTAGAATCTACACTACCTGAAGATGATTCCATATTAATATCACTAATCATAGCTTTGAAGTACTTGAAAAGATGATTTTAAAAGGTTTCCCTATAAATCCCTATATAAAACTTTGGTTGGCCATTTGGCCCCACCCTAGCCCGGGGGTCATGATTTGAACAAACTTGAATCTACACTATCTGAGGATGATTCCACATGAGTTTCATCTTTCCTGGCCCAGTGGTTCTTGAGAAGAAGATTTTTAAAGATTTTTCCTATATATTCCTATGTAAAACTTGGGTTGGCCATTTTGGCCCCACCCTAGCCCCGGGGGTCATGATTTGAACAAACTTGAATCTACACTACCTGAGGATGATTCCACATGAGTTTCATCTTTCCTGGCCCAGTGGTTCTTGAGAAGAAGATTTTTCAAGATTTTTCCTATATATCCCTATGTAAAACTTGGGTCGGCCATTTTGGCCCCACCCTAGCCCCGGGGGTCATGATTTGAACAAACTTGAATCTACACTACCTGAGGATGATTCCACATGAGTTTCATCTTTCCTGGCCTAGTGGTTCTTGAGAAGAAGATTTTTAAAGATTTTTCCTATATATTTCTATGTAAAACTTGGGTCGGCCATTTTGGCCCCACCCTAGCCCTGGGGGTCATGATTTGAACAAACTTGAATCTAACTACCTGAGGATGATTCCACATGAGTTTCATCTTTCCTGGCTCAGTGGCTCTTAAGAAGAAGATTTTTAAAGATTTTTCCTACATATTTCTATGTAAAACTTGGGTCGGCCATTTTGGCCCCACCCTAGCCCCGGAGGTCATGATTTGAACAAACTTGAATCTAACTACCTGAGGATGATTCCACATGAGTTTCATCTTTCCTGGCCCAGTGGTTCTTGAGAAGAAGATTTTTAAAGATTTTTCCTACATATTTCTATGTAAAATTGGGTCGGCCATTTTGACCCCACCCTAGCCCCGGGGGTCATGATTTGAACAAACTTGAATCTACACTACCTGAGGATGATTCCACATGAGTTTCATCTTTCCTGGCCCAGTGGTTCTTGAGAAGAAGATTTTTAAAGATTTTTCCTATATATTTCTATGTAAAACTTGGGTCGGCCAGTTTGGCCCCACCCTAGCCCCGGGGGTCATGATTTGAACAAACTTGAATCTACACTACCTGAGGATGATTCCACATGAGTTTCATCTTTCCTGGCCCAGTGGTTCTTGAGAAGAAGATTTTTTAAAAATGCCATTAATTTTTCTCTAATTCATAATTATCTCCCCTTGGAAAAGGGCGTGGCCCTTCATTTGAACAAACTTGAATCCCCTTTACCCAAGGATGCTTTGTGGCAAGTTTGGTTGAAATTGGCCCAGCGGTTCTTGAGAAGAAGTCGAAAATGTGAAAAGTTTACGGACAGACAGACAGACGGACAGACAGCTAGACAGACAGACGGACAGACGGACGCCGGACAAAATGTGATCAGAAAAGCTCACTTGAGCCTTCGGCTCAGGTGAGCTAAAAACCCACAACAAGGACAGCGGTCTGTGCTGTAGACTGCACGAGTTACAAAAACAAAAAATCAGATATATGCTCACACAAAATGATTGATCGATTTAATTTCTTTTCGAAATTATAAAACTCTTCATTTGGCAAGTAAAGTAGAGAAGTCAACAAAGATATATAAAATACTTTAAATGTAAGATATTTTTGTTTACCATTGCACATCAAAGTTATATAGTCTCAGAATGCTTTACAAATATACTTTTGTTAGTAATCTTAATATGTAGGGCTTTTTTGTTTACCATTGTACATCATTAGAGAAGTTGCTATATTTTCTCTTGCACTCTTTAGGTCTGCATTTGAAACCTTGTCACACAGTTGCTGGTTGAAATATTGTTCAGCAAACTAAAGAAATTTTAGAGAGAAATAACAGTTACTTTCAATGTGACATTTTTTTGGTGTGCAATACTTACTAGCATAAATGAAAATTATTACACATAATTATAACATGTATTTTTCTATAAGATTAAATAAAATATAGGAACTTTTACTAAAGATATAAGAATTACATAACTCACTATCAAACAATACACTCCACAATTAAAACTGTCTGTCTGTTTAGCTAGAGTGTTCTCTTGTGATGACAGCCCAATTCCTTCTCTCCACTTCATGATATGTAACCATCCTCTCACTGGTGTACAAACTTAAAGGAAATTATAAACAGAAATAATATAATCAATCTAACAAGAGGCCCAGGGGCCACAGCGCTCACCTGAGCACATCGGGCTTGAATTTACTCCCCCCCTTCCAGGCGTTCATCATTTGAACAAACTAGAATCTACACTACCTGAGGATGATTCCATATAAATACCCCGGGTATCACTAATCATAGCTTTGAAGTACTTGAAAAGAAGATTTTAAAAGGTTTCCCTATATATCCGTATGTAAAACTTGGGTCCGCCATTTTGGCCCCACCCTATCCCCAGGGCCGGGGGTCATGATTTGAAAAAACTTGAATCTACACTACCTGAGGATGATTCCACATGAGTTTCTTCTTTCCTGGCCCAGTGGTAATTGAAAAGGATTTTTAAAAATATTTCCTATATATTCCTATGTAAGACTTGGGTCAGCCATTTTGGCCCCATCCTTGCCCCGGGGGTCATGATTTGAACAAACTTGAATCTACACTACCTAAGGATGATTCCACATGAGTTTCATCTTTCCTGGCCCAGTGGTTCTGGAGAAGAAGATTTTTAAAGATTTTCCTATATATACCTATGTAAAACTTGGGTCGGCCATTTTGGCCCCACCCTATCCCCAGGGCCGGGGGTCATGATTTGAAAAAACTTGAATCTACACTACCTGAGGATGATTCCACATGAGTTTCATCTTTCCTGGCCCAGTGGTTCTGGAGGAGAAGATTTTTAAAGATTTTTCCTATATATTCCTATGAAAAACTTGGATCGGCCATTTTGGCCCCACCCTTGCCCCAGGGGTCATGATTTGAACAAACTTGAATCTACACTACCTGAAGATAATTCCACATGAGTTTTATCTTTCCTGTCCTAGTGGTTCTTGAGAAGAAGATTTTTAAAGATTTTTCCTATATATTCCTATGTAAAACTAGGGTTGGCCATTTAAGCCCCACCCTTGCCCCGGGGGTCATTATTTGAACAAACTTGAATGTACACTACCTAAGGATGCTTCCACATGAGTTTCATCTTTCCTGGCCCAGTGGTTCTGGAGAAGAAGATTTTTAAAGATTTTTCCTATATATTCCTATGTAAAACTTGGGTCGGCCATTTTGGCCCCACCCTTGCTCCGGGGGTCATGATTTGTACAAACTTAAATCTACACTAGCTGAGGATGCTTCCACATGAGTTTCATTTTTCCTAGCCCAGTGGTTCTGGAGAAGAAGATTTTTAAAGATTTTTCCTATATATTCCTATGTAAAACTTGGGTCGGCCATTTTGGCCCCACCCTTGCCCTGGGGGTCATGATTTGAACAAACTTGAATCTACACTACCAGAGGATGCTTCCACATGAGTTTCATCTTTCCTGGCCCAGCGGTTCTGGAGAAGAAGATTTTTTAAAAATGCCATTAATTTTTAACAAATTCATGATTATCTCCCCTTGGAAAAGGGCGTGGCCCTTCATTTGAACAAACTTGAATCCCCTTCACCCAAGGATACTTTGTGCCAAGTTTGGTTGGAATTGGCCCAGTGGTTCTTGAGAAGAAGATGAAAATGTGAAAAGTTTACGACGACAACAACGACAACGACGACAGACAACGGACAAATTTTGATCAGAAAAGCTCACTTGAGCCTTCGGCTCAGGTGAGCTAAAAACTAAACATAAAACATGTAATGCTTTACTTTGTTAATTAAAAGGGTGATTGGATTTCAGATGTACAGTACTCATACATGTAGCTATGGCACGTTGTTTTATTGACAGCATCTTAATTAATTACCACCAGTTTCTCTTTATCTCCTCAATCTGTATTCTGGTCTCTTTCAGGGGGTTAAAGTAATGTATGAAACCCTTCAAAGGATCAACAATCTGAAAAGAATGTGGTGTTGCCTCACTTATCTTTAACTTGTAGATTTTGATCCATTAAAATAGACTGAATTTCAATGATACCAATCTCCATGTTCTGATAAGCAGAATCAAATTCAATTGAAAAAATTATTGAGCTGTAAATACATGTACATGTGTCTTTTCATTGTCAGTAATCTTACTAGCTTCCATGTGGTTAATAATTTCTATCAATCCCATTAAACCTGAAAATTGTGTACTTACCACAAGAGTCCAATGACGATTTTTACATATAGCTCCAAGTATTGAAGTACACTCATATAGCTTCAACTGAAAAATAAAATACAGCTGTATATTAAGCATAAAGGGACATTATTTAAACCATGTTTGTTAACTTGATTGCAGAATAATTATACCTTCCTTCGACTCTTTCCAACTGAAAAATTTCCATCCATGATCTGAGTCATGGTTTGTGATGGATATAGAACAACCTTGTTTCCTTTCTCAATTTCCTTTTGAACAATGGAGCTAAATATGCATCAATAACCTGTAAAAATGATAGAAATTAATGTACATGATAAAATTGCATGTATATCTAGAAAAAGAAATTAAGGGAAGTACTAACTATTAAACGAATACTTTATAAAACAAATATGTGCTTACCTGATCAGTCACCCAGTTTGTACCATTAAGAGACCTTATGTCCTCATCTGTGATGTTAAAATTGGTTACTTTTCCAATAAAAAATACAGTGCCTTTTTCCATATTCCAAATTTTGTTCACCCCCTCTAAAGCTGTAAAGATAATTTAGCTTTTAGAAATCAGCCTCATAATGAAATGTCATTACTTAATTTTTGGGACTGGATAAAAGCACAAACCTTCCCTATAATCCATCTCATGATACTTTGTAACTGTCTGTGACATGGTACCAGAATCTGGAAAATGTACCTTCTTCACCTGCTTTGTACCTTTGTGCGTTTTCTTTAATATACCCTTCATTCCCAAAGTTAAAAATATATAAAACAATAATTCATTGGTTAGCCAGACAGAAAACTCTTATACTGAATAGAGTTTTAACTCATTTTATGTTGGACATTTGAAAATGTATTCAAGTTGAAAATTTTACCATTTGCTTTTAAATGTGAATATTGATCATCTTCAATGGTAATGATCTCCTCTGCCACATCACTGCTCTCTTCAATAAGAAAATAACCATCATTATTTTTCCTACAATATATTCCTCCATGCATTTATCAAAGAAGAAGTTTCTCATTTCACAAACCATAAGCATTACCATGTGATAAAAGGTCATGTACACCCTTGGATGTATGTTTTTGCATATTCTCTGCAGATGAACCATGTCTCCCAACTCCTTTGTTTCTTTTCTTCGAAAGAGAAAGTTTATTTATTCGCTTTGCTGGTGCTGTTGCAATGTGGGTCATTTGCTTTTGTGGATTATCTACAGGGAGTACATCAGTTTCGCAGAGACTAGCTGTTAAACCATCTAACGTATCTTTCAATTTAGAGCCGAGGGTTTCCAAAATTTCTTCGTCCTTACAAGAATATGAATAGTCTCTAATCATTTGACAGTAGCTGCTGATGTTGGATCTTATTTAAGAAAGTCTAGATTTGGATGGTAAAATAATTTTTTGAATGTTGCTGTCTGTATTGGTCTCTCTTCCTGACTCTTGTTCTTCTTTGCAGTCGGGGTGGGTAACATAAGATGGTGAACTGAACTCATAATGAACACTCTCATCTAATGTCAGGAAGGATTGTTCCTATACTCTTCAGGTAGTTTCTCCCACTGCCAACCAGAAACATTTCTAATGACAGCAAAAAATTGTTTACAAGGTAAATGACGTTTGGCCCAGTCTTCACAGTCACAAGATGGCACTGGAAAGTCAGGTGCTGAAAAGCGGACACAATAAACTTGTGAGCTCTCTGGAACCTGACTCTTCACCAGGAATTGGTCTTCTCCTAAGGAATCTATGTCATCTAAGGAAATGTTTCCTGCTTCTTCCTTTCTTTTAAAGCAATGCTTTACAACATTTCTTGGACGATTAATTAGGAAAGTGGGAATGTCAGGATTGTACCTCATTGATTCCTCTGCAGATATCAAATTCAGTTTCACATATCTGAAATTCCAAAATAAGGTAAATGAATTTTTTAATGTAATTACCCAGTAGTGGCATAACTGTATATAAATAATATTAAACCTTATCACATACATGTATATATTGCAGCACCATTAATGCAGCCTTTATATATAAAGGTTTATTACCTTTGGTAGATGTCTGGAAGAAAATCATTCCACAAAATTGTAAGGAGATGACACAGTGACTTTGCTTTCTTTGCCTCAAGAAATTCATATTTCAGGGTCTTGTTCTGTCTCTCAACACCGTTGTTAGTATTCACAGAAGTGTTGTATCTATTCTGTCTGAAAGCTTGCACCCATCTCTACAATTAAGAAAATTACATATACTCAGCAAATTAATTTTTTGTGGACATATGCCACATCGTGATGTGTGTATACAATGTAAACATATTATACCTATCTAACCTTATATTTATTTAACCATCTGCCTTCAAACCATTTTCTGAATCTGTTATTTTCTGTCCAAAAGTGACTGTTCTATAAAAAGGAAAAAAAAGAGAAATTCAATTATGGGTTTATAACTGCATGTACATAGAAAGAAAAAGCAACTGAAAATACTAAAATCAAGACGAAATTATATAATGATAGTTATCATTAAATTAACAATGCAAATACTAGTGATACTGAGAAGAGTTTTCTTTCTTGTAAATGTGTAAGTTAAGAGCAGGAAGTTTTACTGTACATAATAATGATTAAAAAATACCTTTAATCTGTTACTTGACAGTTCAAACTCTTCATTGGTTTTGGATCTTGCTACAGAGCGTAACAAAGATAAAATTTCATCTTTATCATCTCCAATGCCATTGTGAGTTGCTTTAAGCCATCTCTCCCATGCCTGCTCTCGATGGAAATCACAAAGGTAGACAAAGGACTCTTTAAAAAATAAAATGACAATGTATGATGTGTTAGTGATAACATACATGTACCACCTACATGTACATGTAATAATAAATTTCATTGGAAGTTCAGACAATGACCTTAATAAATGTCTTGATCTTTCAAATCAAAGAGTATATATGAAGCAAATTAAAAAAAAAACAGAAAATGATCTGCTCATAGCATACCTATAATTAGAAACAGTAAAACAGTAAAACAACTGAAAATAGTATGTACAAAAATATTCATTAAAATACCTGGAAAAACAGATTCAATAGAAGATATTTCTTCATCTGCGTAGTCACACATAAAATATGCTGGCTTCCAGTTTGGGTTCCATGATTTTATAATAGATAGGGCTTCTTGGATGGATACACTTTCCTCTGTTTCAACTATGAATGTAGCAACAGTCATGTAGTTTACATTTGTAGGAACACAAAGGAAATAAAGAGGCAAGGTGTATCTGGTTGTTCTATTTGTTGCATCCAGAAAACAGATCTCATTTCCATATCTATTTAGCAGTTGTCTTTGCCAAGCAGTCTGATGGACGTACAGGAATTTTTTGACTCCATCACCACTCTTTCCATAATTTCCAATGAACAGATCTTCATCAACAAATAACCTTTCATCTGGATCACCGCTAACAGGATGTTCTAAATCCATATACAAACAACATGGCATGTCAATTCATTTTGTGTGATTACTATAGGCCTGGCTATTGGCAGGCAATTTTACATTGCAATATACTGCAATACTTTTTAAATGCATAGTGCATTGTGTGTTGCAATATTTTCAATCTAATTAAAAATAGCTGTACTTAAAAATACAGAAATGAGAGTCATTTACCTAAATTTCATATGATAGACCTACAGTCTAGTACTATAGCAAATCTTTCTGACATTAATTACATTATATTTTAAATCTAATTCCAGTCAGAGCAATTAGCTAGTAGACTGTCAATCAATTCATATCTATGAGAACTTTACTTTTCATATAAGAACTTTTGTGCCAAACTGATCACTTTAGTGCGTCCCCTGTGCGGGGCCCTATAAATAAATAAGTGACCACAATTTTGGAAATGTTTTCCTCACTAATAACAAATGAATGTCTTTATCGCGAAAAATAAGGTGTCTCAAAATTTTAGTGATCTACAGTAGTGCATTGCAATACAATATAAAGGAACAACAATACTTCTGAATCAGAATATTGGTATTTTTGCACACTTCCAACGATTTCATAGAATGATCATTTAGAAAAACTACTACAATTGAGCTGTGTTAAAATTACCTTGATCTTGATCAGTCTTAATTCTTAAATAGTATCTGTCTTTCTTGATGGATTGACCTCTGTTCCTCAATCATTCCTTGAACCTCTTTCTAATAAAATAAATTAAAAATATTTTATTTCTTCCACCTACTTTTAAATATATTTCCAGACATAGTAATAAAAATAGAATTTTATTTCTTTTTTGCTTAAAAAATTGAATAGGTTGTTTAGTATCTATATCTGGGTATTTAAATATAGAAATATGTCTTACTGCATTTAAAGACAAAATATGGCATATTGCCTAAATGTGAGCAAAATGTCCTCACTATGTACATTTAAGTAATGTTTATGGAAAGACTTTTGACTTTGCCAACAACCTGTTAATGTTTTATGTGGTAGACTTGTTGTTAATATGCATGCAGAATCGAATGGAATGTGGGATTAACCCTTTATCCTATGTACATTTTTTACTATAGACTTCTCAAGGAGAATTTAATTGTTCATTTTTTCACCATCATACCTGATCAAAACTGCTATCTCATAGTTTGAGAAACTGAGATGCCATGTGGTTATAAATGTCCTTAAGTGATGGCCAATATCTCTTTTTGTGTTTAGGTGGCAGTGGAGAATTTAGAAAGATGGATTGCTTCAAAAAGACTTCAATAAGCAGTTTCATTTTCAGAGTGCTTGTGACTCCATGTTCGCTCACAACTTTCTTAATATAATTCGAAATTCTCGTGTCCATTGGCTGCAAAATGCTGGATGCCTGTATTGTTAGGACATTTGTATTAAAGTATAATTTAAAGCATTTTTGTGATTTTAAATTTCAAATAATAAATGTTATAATACAATTTTCAATTAAAAAAAATTAATTAAAAAAAATGATATAAAATCCATGTACCACTCCTTTCAAGTGATTCCTATGATCCTCTGCTGGTGGAAACGAGACATAGAACCGATGTTGACATTCTATTTCACCTGTACAGTCATTTAAATCCTTCTTTACGCTTGGCACAAACTTCCTACTTGGTTTATCTTGATCCTTCACCTTTTGTATAATTTAAAATAAAATGTGCATCAATTACTTCATAAACCCAAATCTGATATAAAACACATGTACATGCTGTATGTTATTTTGTAACCAGTGGTCAATATATGTATATTGTGATATTACCTTGAAATTCAAAAATTTCACTACATGACGGATTTTTATCCTTACAGGGCATCCTTTCTTCTTGGTGTTCTGTACTAATCGGCGCTTATGTTTGAAGATATTGTCAGACTATAAAGACAAAGTAGATTAGATATGTAGGTTAATTTACATTATAATTATGTAATTTATTGTATACAATGATATAACTATATCAAGATATTTTCAAATTCCCAATATTCTGACATAAATGAAAAGTTGTCAATTTTCAATAAATACGATAAAAGAATTTCAATTTGTTAAAACGATTTTCAATAGCTCTTACAAAAGTACTTGATGCATTGGTGTATAAGACTTAAACTAAACTACAAATACTCCATTGTATATAAACATGGGGATGCTATAGTTAGCATACATTCTGGGTAGACATTTAATATGATATTTCTGAAGAAAAAAAAATCAAGCTACATGAATATCTTTTTTTTTTAATCAGACATATGAATTAACAGAATTGCATGCTTAAACATAATTTACTTTAACCACTTCAACATAATTCTTTAAAAGATTCATAATATCACTTACTGCAGGTAATCTTCTTTTTTTAAGGTCTTCCGTCTTCAGCGGAAGACCTTATTGTTTTTCTTAGGTTTCTTTTCCACTATTTAAGGTCTTCCGTCTTCAGCGGAAGACCTTTCTGTTATTCTTAGGTTTCTTTTCCACAGTTTTTATTATTTTTTTTCTTACATATTTTGTGCAAGCGAGTTCTCGAAAACGGCTTGATAGATTTTCATGAAACTTTCAGGACTGATAGAACATCAAAAAATCTAGGTATATAATTTTTTGTTTTGATGACGTCACTTCCGGTTTGGAGATTTCTGCGATTTTGTCATTTTTAGAGGGTCACTTTGTCCGGCAATGTTCTCAAAAACCATTGAAAATAAAAGTGTGAAATTTTCAGGGATGCTAGAGCAACCTTTGGAGAAGTGCCTTTTGTATATCACAACTACCGGAAGTACGAAGCGCCGACGCTCGCTATAGCCCGAAAATAGTCCTATAAAGAATTTCAAAAAATTTGACACCTTTTCAACAATAACTATTTACCTAGAAATATTTTGTTAAGACATGTAGAACAAAAGAAGTGTAGAATTACATGATCTTTCAACTGATATCTCCAAAAAAGGGCTGGCCCCTAAAATTAAGGGCCTAGAGGGGCCGAAAGTTTTTCGTTTATATCTCAAAAAGTATTAAGAATTTGTAAAACGTCAAAGAAGCAAAGTTGTTTAAAATGTCAAGCTTAATCTATTGGAGTCGTCAAAATACGTCCAGCGTCGTCACTTCCGGCCAAACCGGAAGTAGTCTGAAAACGCATATATTTGCCGTTCTTGGCAAAATTTTGGGTAACATTTGTCACTGGGAGCATAAAAATTCAATTTTCCGCCTGTCGTCATCACTTCCGGTCAAACCGGAAGTAGCAAAAACTGGCTTATGTTTGCATTAACGAGTATAAATTTAGAAGAATTAAACCATTTTGGGGCATTATTACTCATTTTTGTAAAAAATGAAAGTTACTTCCGGTCAAACAGGACGGAAGACCTACTCGTTGCTTTGCAACGAGCTTTGCTCTAGTTTTCTTATTATTATTTTTTTTCTTACCGATTTTGTGCACGCGAGTTCTCGGAAACGGCTCGATGGATTTTCATGAAACTTTCAGGTCTGATAGAACATCAAAAAATCTAGAAATAAATTTTTTTATTTTGATGACGTCACTTCCGGTTCGGAGATTTTCGCAATTTTGTCATTTTTAGAGGGTCACTTTGTCCGGCAATGTTCTCAAAAACCGTTGAAGATAGAAGTATGAAATTTTCAGTGATGATAGATCAACCTTTGGAGAAGTGCATTGAGCATATCATTTTCACTGGAAGTAGGTAGCGCCGACGCTCGCTATGGCCCGAAAATAGTCCTATCAGGAATTTCAAAATATTTAGCACCTTTTCTACGATAAATTTTTACCTAGAAATATTTTGTTAAAGCATGTAGAACAAAAAAGATGTAGAATATCAAGATCTACCAAATGACATCTCGAAAAAAGGGCTGGCCCCTTAAATTAGGGGCCTAGAGGGGCCGAAAGTTTTTCCTTTATATCTCAAAAAGTTTTGAGAATTTGTGATACGTCAAAGAAGCAAAGTTGTTTAAAATGTCAAGCTTAATCTATTGGAGTCGTCAAAATACGCCCGGCGTCGTCACTTCCGGCCAAACCGGAAGTAGTCGGAAAACGCGTATTTTTGCCGTTCTTGATAAGTTTTTTGGTAACATATGTCTCTGGAAGCGTTAAAATTAATTTTCCGTCCGTCGTCATCACTTCCGGTCAAACCGGAAGTAGCAGTAAATGGCTTATTTTTGCATTAATTAACATGGATTTGGAGGATTCAAACCATTTTTGGGCGTTATTTCTCATTTTTGTTATGTCTGACTTATTTCATTTTTATTTAATAATTTAGTGTTTATGATTATGAATGTTGCCCATCACAATATCTTTAATAATCCCGTTTCGACCACTCGGCTCCTTCACTTTATTTTGCCAACAAAGGAATTATAGATGCTGTTAACATTAGTACATTCTTGATCGTAAAAAGTTGCCATATTATTTCAAGTTTATCTAAAAACAAAAGCCAATACGTATTCTCCTTTTTTCCTTGCTCCTCCTTACTTTACCTTTTTGAAAAAACAAATTATTTGAAAAGCAGTCATTTTAAAATGTCATAAACACAGGGAATCTTCATCTTCAACTGGCGAAAGAACTTCATTTCTTTTATAAAATGGGGAAAAATTAAAGCATACTTAGCTTTTTTATTGTAAGCATCCGCTTTCCAAAAAAAAATGGAACTGGAGATTTTTATTTCTTATAACTGGTCACCTAAAAATTTAACTAGGAAAAAAAATCATCGATTCTTCACATGACTACTCTGAAATTGCTTTTCAAAGGTTCCACATTGATAAAATCTTGACGTATGTAGTCTTCGGAGACCAGGTCTTTAAACAGTCTGTTAGATTTCTAGTGTATTAATTGTGTACATTTATTCGTTTACGTTTTATATTATTAAGAAGCAGAATGTATTTTTAAAAAATTACATGAAAGAAAAAACACTATACATCGATGACTTTTTTTTCAATTATAGCCCTTGTTACTTTCATTCATATGTCTACTCGATATATCTCTGGGGAATCGAAGTAAAAGAAACCACAGAGTTTGTCATGCCTTTTTCGTTTCAAAATCTTTTACTGACTATCGACAATACAGGGATAATGTATGATAAACAAGATAAATTGAATTACCATGCAAAGATATAACGAGAAAAATATGTCGATATGGAATCTCTTCTCTTCAATATAAGTTCTAGATTTCACGGATTTTTATTTTTGTTAGTGTTTTTTAATAAGCATAGATTTCATAAATAATTATTTTCATAGATGGACTGGAAACCAACTCAGGGGGAAATTTCATGCGATTGTACTGGCCAGAATGGACTCACCTTTGCAAATTCTTTTTACGTCGCTCCAAACACCATTGACTTTGCTACAGTATTTCTGAAATTTTCCCCCCAGGATCAGGCCGCTGTGTTGGCAACATTCGTCCTTATTTTAGTTCTTTACATTGCGCTGATGATTTGGGGTCGTCACCAGGATAAGAAGGATATCGTCAGGGTATGTTTAATTCTCTTCATTGGATATCAACCATATCGTTTAAGAAAGCTTTTTTGTCCATTTTGGATGGGCTTTACAATAAAATCTAGAGAAAAAAGGAAAATTTTAATTTGGAGGAAAAATGAGAGAATTCTTCCTTGTTGTTGTAACTGAGGGTAATGGAAACATCAATGAAATTCCAATAACATTCTTGCTTAAATCTCTAAAAGTTTACCTCTCTGAATTTCTCCATTTACGTATTGTTATTTGTATCTTTTTCAAGTGGGGCGTAACTCCTTTGATTGACAACTTTGTTGATGATACTTACTACTATCTGATTACTGTATACACTGGAATGAGGCGGGGTGCGGGAACAAGGTCACGTGTCGGCTTCATTGTGGCGGGAGAGGACGGTGATACTGGTGTCAGAGAACTGTTTGACGGTGTTCGAACGGTAATTATAAAAATGAGTCATTTTCTTCGGCAAATTGCTAATATCCTGCTCTTTTGATGATATGCTATTGCTGTAAAAACATTTATACGTATTTTTGATATTGAGAAACTGCCGTTCAGAAGTAGTATAAGAAAAAAAGCTTCCTAGTAAATAAGGTTTGGAAAAAAGATCTGAAATTATAACTCAAAAGAAATTTACTAAGACAAATGTGGAAAGTCAAAATAAAAACCTTGAAAAACTATTTTTTAAAAATCAGATAATTTTAATTCTGTTTATAAAATATTTTTGTACATGGGCATTGACGTTGCTTTAAAAAATACGCTATATTCGTATCATTGAGGCATACTTAAATACATATATGTAGATGAGTTTTGCCAAAGAAAATAATCAGAAAACATGTTTTGTTCAGGAATTTCGGACGGCCAGTGTGAACCATTTTCTAATGGCTACCTCCCAGCCCCTGGGACCGTTGACATACTTCTACATCTTCCATGACAATTCCGGAGAAGGAGAGTGGTCATCATGGTACCTCAATCGTGTCGACGTAGAAGACCTCCAGGATAGGACCAGGTAATATTTTAATACCGTCGAAATAACTCAATTTGATTTGAAAAGCATATTTGCGGAAACTTGTAAAATGATGACGTACACGTAATGAGTTTTTGGTCGACTTTTATATAAATGACATACTAGTTTTACTTCATTTTTTTCCATTCCAATTTTTCTTCCTGATGATATATGAAAATTGGAGAGATATTTTATTGCTAGATATTAATATGCTAAGCATCTCTTAAATTTATTGAGCTTGAATGTTATTGTATTTTATTAAAGTTTGTAAACATGTATCCATTGCATGCCCCCTAAGTATGATTATTGCACCATCAAGACGTCATTTTGGCTATGCGTCTTGCTGGATGGCCTTTGTTGTGTGTAACTTGTTTCATGTGATTTAAACAAGAATTTTAGGGAATTATCCGAGTCGCGTCATATTGCCAATTCACCCAGATTCTCCATCAACATTTCAACAATGAAAGTTTGAATATTTTGATATATTCACAGACGTGCTTTTCTTCTCTTTGAATTTCAATAACAAAAATGTAATTTTTTTTTATAACGATCATAACCAATTATCGACAAAAACTTCACCATCCTTTGCAAACAGAATATTAAAAAAAAAACTCGTATAGACAGCAAGGGAATAATCTAGCTAAAGAACTGTAGCTTTATGGTTTAAATGTAAGTCTTTGATCATATGTTCAACACTTATATATAAAACCAAAACGCTATAGTTCTGCAGCTAGGGAATAAACCGTTCCGATACCAGTTCAATGTGCCAAAGATTTCTCCAAATCACTGCTTACAACCTTAAATCTCAAAATTGCTCAGTTGTATGATAAGGCAGTTAATATGCGAGGTGGAAAAAGGTATTATACTGTATGTACTCTTTGTTCTACAAAATGATTATTATCTTGAAATGTAGGTTCCATAATTTGAGATGAAATGTATTCCTGTAATTTCCACACTGCATGAAATCAATTTCAATTAAAATGTCAAAAATGAACTACGAAAATACTGTACATATATAGCAAATTTTACCAAAATCCCAAAGCCGATGAAAATAATTTTTGTTCAATACCAATATCTCATTCAAGGTCACTATAACAACATCGATAAATATCGTATACTGAACTCATTACCACCCTAATTATTTTCTTATGAGTCCCCCATTTCGTTAAATTATTTATAACGTTATAAATACTTGATATGCATGTCGATCAGGGAAAAACAATGCATCTCAGAGTAATTGGTTCTTATCGATTTAAAATACTTTCTCTTTACTTTGAAATGAGTAAAATAGCATATTAACTGAAAAAAATTGAAAACAATTCTATTATGTCAGTATTACTTTAGCTTATGGTATAATGAAATGGATGTATATGTTATTAAATAGTTATATGTTTAGATTTAATATCTGCTTATGCCAGACATGTCTCTCCTATCCGTCTCTGCCTAATTGAGACACACTTGTTTGTGACCTCAAATTGATTGTTTATCTACATTTTTTTATGCATATATGATATTGAAACGCACCGAAAACAATATAATTATCATTTATTTTTATTCATTTATTTTGCATTGTACTATTTTCAATGTTTAAAACTTTAAAAAGTTCCTTTTCTACGCATTTTCCAATTTTCAGCAGTATGTACTTAAGCTGAACAACAAATACAATTTTAAAGCACGGCATTAAAAAGGTCACGGGTATACAATACTAGTATATACGAGCATCCCCCTAAAATGAACCTTTAAGATATATGTGATGGCTTTTTTAAACTAATTTGTTTTGTGGTTTGGTCTTGTTTAGATTTGTCTTCATGTGTGGTCGTTGGCTATCGCTGGACAACCTGGAGAGCCATGTTGAGGCCGTTCTTCCCGTTTGTGGCCGAGAAAACGTAACAACATTTAAGAATATGTTTTACATTAACTATAAGGAAAGTTTGGCCGATAATCATCTCTGGATCTCAATTTATTTCCGACCAACCAGTAGCCATTTTACTCGAATCCAAAGAATCACGTGTTTGTTACTATTTATAATGCTGACGATGATTGGTAACGCTGTATACTTCAGACCAGAGGACGAATATGAAAATCCAGAAACAGTAAAACTAGGCCCTCTGCAGTTTTCCTGGCAAACAGTATTTATATCAATTATGAGTACGTTAATCTCTACGCCAGCCGTTATTCTGGTCGTCACCTTGTTCAAGAAGGCCAAACCACGAGTAACTGATTATGACGTCAAAGACTCATCACTCAAATATTCTTTACCGGTCATAAACAGTTTCATGGACAAGGTCTTAAAGGAAAGTAAGGAGCTTGAGCGAACATTGGTAGCCAAAGGTGTCATGAGCAAAGACGGAACGATACTTCCGTTTTGGGTTACTTATATTGCTTGGTTTTTGGCGCTTGCTGGAAGCTTCACCTCTGCGTTTTTTATAATGCTGTTCAGTATGGAATGGGGAAAAACAAAGACTGAAATGTGGCTGGCTCAATTTTTCCTCTCCTTTTTAGAATCAGCATGTATTCTGGATCCTCTAAAAGTAAGATGTATTGCTTAATAGCAACAAGGCTACGATGATGACATGTACATAATCTGATATGTAAATGTAATGTGACATCTTTCTATTTCAGGTTGTGTTGATGGCGGCGGTATTTGCTTTAATATTTCAACAAACTGAAAAATTCCGACCGTCAGGTCTGACTCGAGAAATTGTCTTGAAAAATTACAGACAACGATATGGACAAGAACAGAGTAAGTAATGTTTCAAAGGATAAGCTTGTTAAAAGTAGTCTTCAGAAATGACTCCAAAAATAAGTTGAATATTTGTCGAGGAACTCTAGCATTAGTAGAGGAACGAAAGAGAAAAATTGTATGATGTTGAAACAGTGTGTTTTTCTTGTGAATTGATTAAAAAATCTCTTAAAGTACCCGGATAATGGAACAAACGGAAGTGAAGTTATAAATTTTAACGGTTTAATTCTTATAGTACATTCCATGCCATAAGTCACAAATAATCTTTTAGTTACCTTATTAGATATGTCCAAAATTTCTTTTCAGGTATACGTATCCCTGCACCACCACTAAATCATTCCCTCTTAGAAAAGGCAAGAGAAGAGCGCATGCGAGACATTAAGATGATGGACTCAATAAAACAAGTTTTCATCACATTGGTTTACATATGGATTATCTACAGCATCAGTTTCAGCAATCGTGATACCGGATCTTACTATGTTCAAAAAGACATATCTAATCGTCTTCTGACTCCCTCTGGAAAAGACGTACGGAAGTTTGAAAATGTAGGTTATTTTAGTGTAAAGCTATCAACTAAATATTCTGAAGTTTGCAACTTCCCTCACAGGTAAGTACTCGAACAGTATAAAAGTAAAAGCGTTTTTTTTTTATTCTTTAAGGTAAAAACAACAGAACAATACCTCGATTGGCTTAAGCAGGTGGCGTTCCCTACCCTGTTTCCGGAGCAGGAGTACAATGGAGAACGTCTTTACTGGAGACACAGACAATATGCATCCGGTCTAACGAATTTCAGAGTGGGGCCTCCTAGACTCAGACAAGTGAGAGTTGTCGAAGGTAAATGTATTTACTCTCTGCTAATTAGTCCGAGATTTATGGTTTTCTAATTATTTTTTTTAAAGTCAATAATCAAAACGTTCATAAGGTATTTCAAACAAATGTCTTCTTTATTCTTTATATTATAGATGAGGAAAGTATTCATCCCTTCGGCAGTGTTAAAATATATCCCTCGTACAGCATTATTAATGAAGAGGCACGCAGTTTTTGTTTCGGATGGTCGAAACCTCCCTGTGATATTGCAGCAGAGGCTTATTCGTTCTCTTTCAAGGCCTGGAAATACACAAATCCATTTGATATTTGGGGAGTCCCAGTTTTAGGTTACTACAATTCCTACTCCGGTGGAGGATACATCGCAGAGCTGGATGTGAATCTTGACTTTACAAATAGAACCATGCAGGAATTGACGGAAAACTTGTGGATAGACAGATCAACAAGAGCTGTGTTCTTTGAATTCACTGTATATAATGCTGATTTTAATGTATTCACTTACAGTATGCTTGCAACAGAGTTTCCGGAAGTAGGAGGAGTAATGACAATGTCAACAATATATCCATTCCGACTCTATCACCATGTTGGACAAACAGGATATTACGTCATTTTCTGTGAAGTTTGTTTTGTGTTGTTTTTGGTGGCTCAGATTGTAAGAGTCATATATTATCTATACAAACTTCGTTTACAGTTCTTCAAAAGTACATGGCTTGTGTTAGACTTCGTTGGTATATTCTTAAGCTTCGTTGCAATCGCTATGTACGTGGGCAGAATGCTTCTAGCAAACGAAACTTTTGCCAAGTTCAAAGCAGACCCAAAAGCTTTCGTCAATTTTCAACATATTGCTTACTGGGATTCACTTTTTATTGTCCTCATTGGGTTGTTAGTATTTCTAGGAACAACAAGGCTACTTGGAATTCTGGGATACGACAAAAGAATCGGACAGGTGTTCCGTGTGTTCGATAACTGTGCTTGGGATTTATTATGGTTTGGGGTCTTTTTCCTCTGTCTCTTCGTATTTTATGCCATACTAGGCTACCTTTTGTTTGGACGAGACTTGGAGTCGTACTATGATATTTTCCAGTCACTCGGAACACTCTTCATTAGTATGATCGGTAAAAGTAAATTCAACGAAATTAATGAGGCCGATCCTCTGATGGCACAGTTTTACTTCTTTACATATGTTCTCTTCATCGTGTATTTCCTGCTGACCATGTTCCTGGCCATTCTGTGTGAGAGTATTAATGTAGTGCATCAGAAAACCAAGCTGGACCGTTCGGATGAACTAGTCATGTACCTCATCGATAAAGTCCGAGATTTCTTCTCGAGAAACAAAGATGGCAAGAAATCACAAAAAGGTAGAAACAATTGAGATTGAATAAGGGATTATTGTGACATGTACAGCAAGATATCCATGATTTAAAAATACATATTATGCTAATATAAAAAATAAGTACATAACTGTATGTTTAGCTGATATTGTACTGATATCATTTTTTGTTTAGATTTCACCTCAATCATGGCGGAGCACCAAAAACCTTTGAATTTGTTAAAGGAACTGCGGAAGGATATCGATAGCGCCATGTCTGCCTACTCCGAAAAGGAAGACAAGGACAAGCAGGATAGAATGGTAACCAGGGACGCTTTCTCAGACTTAAAATGATACTGTCTTATATAGAATTTGATTTCCCCCAGCTGCAATAATGTAGCCCTCTCCCTTTTTTATTTAGGAGAGGGCTACAACTCCTTAGGATCTCCGTAATGGTGCAAGTGCGGGAGTGATTCACTCCAGAAAATATCAGATTTAAAATTTGGAGAGGACTACATTGTTGCAGCTAGATTTCTCCATCAAAATTTTACAGAAAAGTTTATTTCCAATAAGAAGTTATCACTTTTCTTTTTTCTTTCTTCAGAAAAAACGGGGCAAAGAGTTTTTGAAGAAATTGGAGCAAGCAAACTAAAACAACGAGAATACAATGTTAATTTGGCCATCGGGTTTCAGAATTATCTAGAACAACACAAAAATATGATGAAAATCTTTAAGAATATGTTGATTGACTCTTCTCGATGTGGACAATGTTATGTCTAACTTTTGTTCAAAGTTGTTTGGAATATCTGTGATAATTCACTTTTGATATATATACTAAAAGTCTTCTTAAAATCAATTTTGTAACATATTATAGTGTCACTCTTAGAAACTTAAGTGTCCTGCCTCTGTATCCCTACCATTTTTTACAAAAAAAAAATTGCAATGCAATTATGTTCATGTACCTGTATATCTTAAAATAATTCTTTTACTTTTCTGGATACAAAAATTGAATGCTAGTGTCATTTTCAAACCGTGTGTGAAGAGTTCTATTCTGATTGACCACAATATCTAAAAAAAACATCGAAACTTATACTAGCATTTATTTTGTTTTAAATCCTTAAAAAAGATACTTTTCATACGACAAATGGCATACTAATATATAAAGTCGAGCCACGCTTAATGACAATTAATCATTTCTTATGTAGAGTTTATTTTTTAATGAAGTTAATCCCTTTTTCTATCAACAGTTTTGTTGTCAAAAACCCTATTTGAAGAAAAGAAAACACGCTTTCTGTAACATCATGAATGATTTAAATAATGTATTGCTAAAGGGGCATTGTTTAAGACCTAAATTTATTCGAAATCATATATACACTCGAAATAATGTGCGGGAACAAAAATTGATGGAAAACCCGCAAATTTTAAACTCTCAATCTCCTTTAATGCTAATACAGCTGAAATTTCTCAGATATTTGTAAAACTGGAAATAATTGAATGTAGAAAACAGACATCTGTGTAAAAAAAGCATTCTTCAGAGTAAAACGTTTAAGAAGGTATGCAACAATTGTTAATAATGATGTGATCATGCGTTGTTGAACATTTACATATAAGAATATTTTTGTATTTGTTATCTTTGTCCGTCCATATATAAACATTTCATTAATTAGTAAACAAGCATGTGTGTTTAATAAACAACAATTAGATACTGGTTGTTTTAGTGTTTGTTTTATGTCGAGGTAACAGTCTAAGGCCAGAAAGCAACATTTGTTAGTCATCCGTCTTGCTGTAAATATTTGGTTTTGTATGTGTTTGCGCACAAAGCTTTCTAAAATTCACTTTTCAACTTGAATATTTGACTATTTTGTAGCTTACATTTCGAAAGCAAGGTTCTACTTATTGACCAACTAATATACTGCAACCCTTTCTTTAATTTTAAACAGAGAATATTCAAATTATGCGCTTTCAATACCCTTAAAAAAGACAATGTTTTCCCCGTCTTATTGTCCCCCGCTTTCGCGAAAGCGAGGGGACATTAAATCTCATTCGTCTGTCCGTCTGTCCGTCAGTCTGTCAATCTGTCAGTCTGTCCGTCTGTCCGTCCGTCACAAAAACTTTAACCTTGCCCATAACTTTTGATTTAGTGGAGCTATGACTTTCATATTTCACATATGTATTTCTTTTGATAAGACCTTTCTTTGGGTACCACCAAATTTGACCTCTTGACCTTGACCTTGGAGTTTGACCCACTTTTACACAAAAAATTCATACTTTTACTTTGGCCATAACTTTTAAATCGTAGACACTAGGACTTTTATATTTCACATATATATTCTTTGTGACAAGACCTTTCATTGGATACCAACAACTTTGACCTTTTGACCTTGACCTTGGAGATTTCCGAACTTATGAAAAAAACTTTAACATTGACCATAACTTGTGAGCAGTACGGGCTAGGGCTTTCATACATCATATATATGTAATTCTTGAGAGAAGACCTTTCATTGGATACCAAGAACTTTGACCCTTTTACCTTGACCTTGGAGTTCGACCTACTTTTAAAAAACTATGACCTTTGCCACAACTTTTGAACAGTAGATACTTGGACTTTCATATTTCACATATGTATTCTTTGTGGCAAGACCTTTCATTTGATATCAACAACCTTGACCTTTTGAAGTTGACCTTGGAGAATTTTCGTACTTATGACAAAACTTTAACCTTTACCATAACTTTTGAATGGCAAGGGCTAGGGCTTTCATACTTCACATATGTAATCCTTGTGAGAAGACTGTTCATCAGTTACCAAACACTTTAACCCTTTGACCTTGACCTTGGAGTGCAGTGATGATTTCTAAATAAATGATATATGATAGGGTGTTCATAATACACACAACATATCATTACAAATGACATCTCACCCACAAAGACACCGAAAGCGGGGGACCACAATTACTTGAATTTGCTTGTTTGCTCTCTTGTCGCAAAGTTGGCGAATTAAAATACATGCATGGTTGTGATATCTTTTTTTAAAAAACTGTATCCAGGCGAATTTATAGCGGAGAAAAATAGTTTGTAAGTATGGTATGGCATAAAATAAACCCTGTATACATTGTTAACAATTCTAAGAATCCACTTATTAATGAACAGAAATTCTTGGATTATGAAGACAATAGATTTTTTAGAGACTAAGAATCAAAATATCAGCATAGATCGATGTCCTTCCAAAAAATACCTGTAGTAAAAATTTAAAACTAAATCATGTATGTTTTTATTACTTGTAGGAATGGGTTTTATTCTGTACTCAAAATATTGAATAGCAGGTTTTATTACATACTTAGTAATAAATACAGGTTTTTTGCATATGCGATATGGCTGACGTCACAATAGCCGTATCAGCCCTGTAGGGCTGATATGGATTTGCAGGGCTGATACGGATCATTATCACACCCTTAGTAAATTAAACATAAAAAAACAGTACTTTTCATCATACACATATTTTGGGGGTTACATAATTCTCTTAATTTCACCTTGTTGAATGTAAGGACAATCTAACTGACATCACATCCTGTATCAGCCCTCCACCAATATCTGCCCTCGGGCCTTCGGCCCTCTGGCTGATATTGGTGTCTCGGGCTGATACAGATGTGATATGGAAAAGGGTTTATACATGTGTTATCCTATATGTAATGTTTACAATATTTAGAGACAATTCGCAAAATTGGAATATTATCATTTTGTCATTTTGCATAGTCGAAAATGAAATTATTTTATTTAAAGAACACGCATATGTCATCACCATGTCATCACCATGTGTCACTTCCCAAAGTCATCAACATCTGCTAATATGCTTACATGTACTGTATCAAACACGACACCTAGTTTGAATACAATGCATCAGGTTTCGGCTGAAGTTGTCACATACTTACATTGAAAGGAACTTTAACCACTATTAATTGAATAAATAGGGAAAAGGGAGCATACATGTATCTTTCAAGGAAATGTCCAGTTTGTATAACCACTAAAATCACACCCTATTAGCGGCAAATGGGAATGCCGATGCAACTGGGGCAACAGACGGCAAAGTTGTTTTTCGCTATGACAGAGACCTAATTGATATAATATTTTTGACTATTTATAACATTCATTTACTTTCGGTTGGTGATTTCCCATTTTTGATCTTACCTTAAACTATTTTTATGTTAAATATAAAACTATGATTTCTTTTAAAAACAAAATAAGAGCAGAAAAAAGTTGAATTTCAATACTTGTTCAAGAAAAATTGGTCAAACTGAGCTAATAGAAATAAAACTGCTACTCCACGGTCACATTTCTTGTTGTATATAATAAATTTAGGCTCTCTTCGGCATAATTGCAAAATGTGGATAATCTTTGTTGTTTAGTAAAAGTGCCACAAGTGTTTGATTTTGGTGGGTCAAATTGTTTTGGTTATCGTGTACGAATGACGAGGCAAACAATGACAGCAGCTTTAAAACAAAAAATGGCAATGGGAAACAATGGAAACAAAGTTTGATAAAAAATAAATTTGCTGTATCTTAATAAGTTTCAAATTTCGCTCAATATTTTTAGCTCACCTGAGCCGAAGGCTCAAGTGAGATTTTCTGATCAAAATTTGTCCGTTGTCTGTCGTTGTCGTTGTAGTCGTTGTTGTCGTTGTTGTCGTTGGCGTTGTCGTCGTCGTGAACTTTTCACATTTTCATCTTCTTCTCAAGAACCACGGGGCCAATTTCAATTAAACTTGCCACAAAGTATCCTTGGGTAAAGGGAATTCAAGTTTGTTCAAATGAAGGGCCACGCCCTTTTCCAAGGGGAGATAATCATAAATTTGAATAAAATTAATGGCATTAAAAA